TAGGTTGGAGACCATCGCTAGTAGGTTGGAGGCCATCGCTTCTAGGTCGGAAGGTTGGAGGCCATCGCTAGTAGGTAGGAGGCCATCGCTTCTAGGCTGGAGGCCATCGCTAGTAGGGTTGGAGGCCATTGTTAGTAGGCTGGAGGCCATAGCTTCTAGGTTGGAAGGTTGGAGGGCATCGCTACTAGGTTGGAGACCGTCGCTAGTAGGTTGGAGGCCATCGCTTCTAGGTTGGAAGGTTGGAGGGCATCGCTACTAGGTTGGAGACCATCGCTAGTCGGTTGGAGGCCATCGCTAGTAGGTAGGAGGCCATCGCTTCTAGGTTGGAGGCCATTGCTTCTAGGTTAAACGACATACCACCATTGGCAGGCAAGCTCTCTCTCTCTCTCTATTTGCACCTCATAGAGCTGCTTCTGCTGTGCCAACTTTGCCTTCACCTCAACTTGTCACAACGGAAGAGATGTTTCTCTCATATGGCATTATGGCACACAAATAAGTATAAGCGTTAGAAAATGTGTCCAGTTTAGTTGGTGGCTTGAGGCAATATGAGACGCCCACATCTGCAAAGTTCTTTTTGAGCTCAGAGATTTTGTTATCGCGGTTTTTGAGCTCCTGCAAAGGGTTGTCATCCCCTGGCGTTGATTGGTTTCATGTTGTTTGGGCCTTTGGGTCGTTCGTTTTCCTTCCATGCATCGCTTCTTTTCGAAGTCTGTCTGTTTACCATGTCTTTTCAATGATGCGTTCACCCTCCTCCAAAGCAGACATGTACTTGCTGTTGGCTAAGGAGCACCTTAACGAAGGAAGCCACTTCTTGCCCATGTCAAACTGTTTCATCCGAGAGACCGCCAGTAGGCAGACATGCTTCAGCACCACCACATCGCTACGGTGTGAAAAGTGGACTTGCTCAAACATATTCGCCTCTTATTTTAGACAGTGAACAAAAAGTTCTGAATTCGCGGTGAAAATCACATCGAACAAAGAACGAGTCGAAAACGTCTCAAAAAAATATAGATTAAAAAATAGAATCACGTGAGAGTGTAGGGCTGTTGCTCCAAGCCATACTTCTCCCGTGTCTTATCGAGTTTGTAGGCCTGACAGGTCCGAAGGGAGCACGAAAGATCGGAAAAATGTCTGCATAGAATTAAAATTAATAGCTTCTTGTTACTACTAGTAAGGCACTTGTTACTACTAGCGATGCACTTGTTCCTAGTAGCTTATTTCACCATTTGGCCTTCTTGATGGCGTCTGTCACATCCAGCTTGATATCTTCCACATCCCTTTCTAGCTGTTGGGCTTCTTCCTGAGATGCACTAAGATCAGAACAATGATTGAAGATGCATGTTCAATGTGTTCTTGCTAAAACAAAGTGTCCTTTGTGAACACTTGCCCTTCAAAATGGCGCTGGTGGGATGCAAGACTGCTGCAATCTATATAACTGATTTGACCCTTTGCCCCTTTGCCCCCTTTTCGCCCTTTTCGCCCCTTCGGCCCAGTAACATCATGGCTCTTCACCTTTTTGGTTTGATCTTTGGTGCGGTCGTCACAGCCTCGTTTGGGAAGTGGCTTATTCTTTGACATGCTTGACCAATGCTGACATCAAAGCATCCTCTCAAGGCGCTCAGGACCGAGAGTCAGACGAATGAGAGCTCGATTCAGGGACTCTCTATCCCGCAAAATGTCGGTGATGGTCTGACGGGTCAAAAGGTCTAAACCTTTTGGCCGCCAGAGTTCCAAACTTTTAGCCCTTACTTAGAGTAGCGTTCTTGCTCCTAGTAGCGATGCCCTTTGTTACTAGTAGCGTCCTTGTTCCTAGTAGTAAGGCCAGGAGCCCCTAGTAGCGTCCTTGCTCCTATAATTGAGTATTCGCCTACTTGATCTAAGTAAAGGAAGAAACAAACTACCAGGTAACCTGCTACTAGCTAGGACACAGGATAGCTCACGCTTCTTTAAGGAAGCTCCACCTGCCGACCTAAAGGCGGCGGGGGGCAGCTTCCTTGAAGAAGCGCTCCCACTATTCATTTGGTTCCTAGATTGCTGGCAAAACCTGCAAAAGAGCGAAAGAAACACAACATACTTTGCATGTGGCATCACGTGGCCTTGCTATCGCTTTCGGCTTGCTTCTTGAGCATGTCGATCTGACAAGTTGCAAGCACGTTGACAAAAAAAACGAGAAGCACTGGACGTCTGGCCTCACGAATCAAGTTCTCCGTTTCAGTCTTGAGCACGGCCTAGGGCACAAAAGCAGTTCTCCGGTTCTCGATCTGAAAACCGATCCCTGTAAGTCCTTACCAGCGTGCAGATGATTTGCAATAGCAAGCACTGAGGCTCTGCCTTTTAAGTCCCTTTATTAACTTTCTCTCATTCTGAAAGCCAAAGAGCAGTGCCCTCCATGAGGCAATGTGAGATGTGTCTCATTCAATGAGTCTTAAACTGTTTATCCAAGATGCCCTTAGCTCAGATAATTGTGGGAAAGGCCCTTCTGTCGTTGAAAGGACGTTCATCTTGCCCCTGCCTTGGCGAGGTTCATTTCGTGTCTTGCTTCGTCATCCAAAGCCTTCGTCGCTGCGAAAACGACTGCTCAAGAAATTCTAAGGAAAGCATTGGAAAGCAGCAAAAACAGCTATCTTCAATGAAAATTACATGTTGAAACTGGTAATTACAAATTGAACGTGAGATTCGAAAAAGCTTTCAAAGTGGCAAAGCTGCGCCTTTCGACGCTTTAACACATCCAAGGCTTTCTTCGTCTTGTCTCGCTCGGCCGTGCAGGTGCGGATCTCCTGAGTCGACGAGGATACCAAGTTTTTGCAGCGTCCGATCGCTCCGTTCATAGCGATGCCCTTTGTTCCTAGTAGCGTCCTCTTGTTCCTAGTAGTAAGGCCAGGAGCCCCTAGTAGCGTCCTTGCTCTAAAATAGGACGCAGGATAGCTCGCGCTAATGATTTGGTTCCTAGATTTTTAGGGAAACTTGACAGCTCTGGATGTGAACAGTTGTCAAGTGGTCCGGAAAGCGACATGCTTGAAAGACTGCCAGGAGGACAACTAAATTGCCAGAGGACACCTGGGTTTTGAATGCAGCTTGGTGTAGCATCGAAGAGTCAGAAAGGATCCAAAACGAACTTGATGAAGCCACACAGTCCTCATGCTTCTCTTTCAACTCCTTGTCAAGGTCTTTGTTCTCCTTGCAGCAGGCTGAAGCTCTAGTCTTGTATGAAGTGCGGCAGTGCGGGATGTAGATTCACCCAACGTGTCTAGGGAGTCTAGGGATTCGCCTTGCCTTCCTTCATTTGGAACATTTGTAATCTGGGGTGCCAGAATTCAGACCGAACTGTTGCAAGATTCAGACAGATGTTTTTCATTTGTTGAAGAGTACTTTCTGACATGGAAGTGTCTTTTCCTGTCGCCATCTGGCTTCTGACACGACAGTTTCTTATCATCGACATGCGACTGCTCCGAGTGCACTATGGACTATGTATAAGATTTGGTGGATGCGATACTGTCGGGTCGACAAATGTGCACTTTCAGGTTACCGTTTCGTTGCATTCCCCAAATCGCCTTTGAAAGGAAACGGCATGCCCATCCAACCCGACCACAAACATGCAATGTCTGTGTCCAGGGATTCTTCCCAGCCAATATATCCTGTTTCCTATGTAAAATATGCATGTCTCGAGAGCAGCTCAAAGGTCTCTCAAGTTCTAAACTCTACTACTCGCCGACATCATTAATTTAAAAGAAACATATAGTAGCAAAAACGCGTCATGCCACTGAGAAACAACCACACACATCCTTTTCTGCCCGGAGCTGCTAGTGCCACTCCCCACTCTTGCAAGGCCAAATGCCTCCAACAGTCTTTTCTTCGCGTCACTGCCTTCCTGCCAAATTCGAGAAATTAAATGGCACAAAAAGGACACAGAATCCATCGAATTACTTACCCGATTGAATTTTCTGATTTCCAGACATCACAAGTGTTGTGTTTTGTTCGGCCCTTTCTGAACCTGCCTGGGGTTTTCGCATTGTTACATATCTGTTCTACGGTGCTGCTTGTCGCCGTGGCCACACTCGTCACACGAGTTCCTGTCAGAGCCCTCTGCTCTCTCGCCTGCTTCTGACGCTTCAAATCGCCAATCTGTCGCTGCCAGTTGGCCTGGTTCAGCACTTTTTCTTGCTCGTCTTCCAAAATGTAAAGGCTCTCTTTAATGCCCTAATTCTACTTGTAAAAGCACCTCTTCCTGCTTCTTGTTCTCTATGATCTGCCGCTGCATGTTGAGCCTTGGGCTTGGGAGGCTCAGAAGAAATTTCCAAACTTTGCTTGAGTCCGCGTTAAAGTGGGAGCGAACCCAGTTGGTTCACTTCGCATCGTTTGCTTTCCACATGCACTATTGAAACATGTGATGCGTGTGTGGTTCAATGTATATATATGGTATATACGGTGCATCTATATATATATCCTATCTTGCCTGCTCATTCTTACTCTCATACTTTCTGTCTTCGTTCGTCTTTCTTTTGGATTTGTTTGCTTCGCGCACCTCGCCTCACCTCTGGGGCTTCCCACTGCATCTCGGTCGCGGCCTTCACCTCCTCCTGTTGCTTGATCTCCGCCTGAAACAAAACACAAGACCCTCGGACCAAAGATCCCAAGAGTGTTTGATAGAAAAAGATTTGGGTTGACATCTAAAGGACATTCAAAGACTTCCAAAATGGATATCTGACAAATCCCGCCTTCACCTGGCGCAGCACACGGTCTCTCGCCTCCATGTTTTGCCGAAGCCTTGGCGATTCATGATCCGACGAGTCAATGAGTAGCTACTGGCGTCTTCGTCTCTTTCGCTGAAAGCTCTGGCGTTCTCTTCACGCATTGTCTTGCGTTATTGGAAGGAGCTGACGGTTAAGTAGCACTGCCTTGCTTTTGGCATTCACTGTTTGTTCCCTCTCCTTTCCGTTGTGCAGAAGGCACTGGGTCTCCGCGCTCAATGAGCTCACTCTCAAGCCGGTCACGGCGCCGCGTCTCACGCTCCTCCTCCGTCCTCCAGCATCAGAGTATGTCAATGCATTAAGAAGGCACGGGAAGCAGCTGGGAAAAGGCTTCAAGAAGCCAGGAATGGCAATGGTGGTAACCAAGGGCTTTAATTGTATTCCATGTTTATCAAGATTACGACATTACAATGTATGATCAAGTGCATTAAAGAGAAGCTGCAAAAAGTCGAAAGCCAGCCTCTTGGCATTGAGCATGTCTTTGACGTCTGCTATCTCAACCTCAACCACATGTTTCTGAAGCAAAACCCCTGAGTGCCCAGTCTCTGGCACCATATGGATTAAAGTCTCTTGGACTTCACCAGCAAGCGCCGTGATAATGTCAGCTGTAGGGCCGAAGACCAGACCAGATTCTGCGCTATTTTAAAGATCTTGCTATGGAGGCCATCGCTACTAGGGTGGAGGCCTTCGCTATTAGGTTGAAAGTTTTGTGTACAGAATGATTCATACTAGGGAGGGTTAGAAACAAGAAGCTACTAGGAACAAGTGCATCGCTAGTAGTAACAAGTGCCTTACTAGTAGTAACATGTTTGCTATTAGAAACAAGAAGCTACTAGGAACAAGTGCATCGCTTCTAGTAACAAGTGCCTTACTAGTAGTAACATGTTTGCTATTAGTTAATTTAATTTAGATTTAATTCTACTAGCTTTTTGTTACTACTAGTAAGGCACCTGTTACTACTAGCGTGGCACTTGTTACTACTAGAGAATTAGAATTAACTCGGGTTACCGGTGTCCCGTGCCTCACTTTGGACTTTCTCCGACTCATACCTCTGAGCCGTTTCTGTCAAGACCTTACAACGCAAGACATCGCAAGGCTTGTGACCAAGACTTATCGACCTTCCCCACTCTCCTTTGACTCCTACAGTGAGTTTCTTGCTGTATGTGCGGCAGCTTCTGATGCTTCATGCTCCAAGCTATCTCAGCCTCTGACAATGTTGTCGTGCGTCAGGGAGGCAACCTAAGGTCAATAAGTATCAGCTCAAACAACAATCGAAATATGGCACGATACTGAGATACTCTAAGTATCAAGAAAACATTGAGTTAAAACATGGTAGTACAGTCCAGTGCATGCTTCATCCCACGTACCTATTCCATGTTGTCACCTGACCCCTTCCGCATTGTGCTCTTTTCTCACTAGTGATGACTTAAAGATGGCTCTTTCGGTGATGCTTTGCATCGCCGGCAACAAAATGAGCCAGCGGCACATGTACCTGCAAACGCTGAGAAGAGCCTCTGCTGGCAAGCCGCAAAATGGCTGCATTGACTTAGGGGCTGCTGGCCTTTCGAAGTCTGTAAAGGCACAAAGACAGACCTTGCTGGGCAGGTTCCCAGCGATGGAACACGTTGCCGACAAATTCTGCAGGCCATCTTCCAATGCAAAAGCCGTTATCCGAAGTCCAAAGTCAAAGCAGCTTCAAACAAGACAGGATGACTCTCTGCTAAGCCTGCTAGGCATGTCATCTCTTGTGACAATGCAAACTCGTCCTGCTACGGCCCTGTAACTATCTGCTGTAGCCACCGGACTTCTTTCGTGGATGGTAAGACTTGAGAACATCGACCACTGCTGGGTCCGCCAAGGTGGAAGTATCACCCAAATCCTGGCACAAAAAAGATTGTCCACTTCTATTTTCTTTCTCTTCGTCTCTTTCTCTTCGTCTCTTTCTCCTGGGTGTCGTAGTCGGGCAAGGCCAACTTCCGGAGGACCCGGCGCATGATTTTCCCGCTGCGGGTCTTTGGCAAGCCCGGTGCCCAGTGGATCTCGTCCGGGGCGGCGAAGGCACCGATGACTTCCCGGACCTCTAGAGATCGAAACTGAAGGAACCGGAAGGAACCGGAAGGAAATGAACAAGGAGAGAGAACAGCAGAAGTTGAACACGAAGCTCAAGGAAGAGTGATCCAATATGATCCAATCAAATATTGAAGGGAGATGCCTCTGATGCACTGACTCTGCCCATTCTGGCCTGTTTCTTCAGCTCTGCCTTGAGGCTATCGTCGTAGGCTTCGCCCTCGTTCAGTGTGACACAACACCAAATGCCTTCACCTGCGATGAAATGCTCCAAAGGACGGGCCCAAAAGATTGGTGGGTCGTGGAAGCAAAAAGAGGGTGCGAGTCGCGGTGCGAGTGCAGAGAAGCTGGAAGCAATCAATCCCCTCTTAACCTTACCTGACCTCTAAAAGGTATACAGTTGCTCTGCATCAATGCTCACAACATGGACTGCTTCCCTACATCCTTAAAGTGAACAAACCATAGATTGGTATGTCGTTTGTTTGCCGGATCGTGCACGGGCTGCCAAATTGGGCAGAATTCGCCTTTCACTTCATGCGGAAAGCCCACCACGGCCGCTTCAGCCACCTTGGCATGTGCCACCAAAGCAGATTCCACCTCTGCAGTGCCGATCCGATGCCCGGAGACGTTGATGACATCGTCCATCCGCCCGGTCAACCAATAGAAGCCGTCCTGGAAAGCCGTCGCTGTTCGATTCACGACGTCCAATGTGCTTAAGCACTTTGTAACTTCAGCTGTTCCACTTCGACGATTTGGGCGTGGGAAAGCCGCCTTTTGACCCAGTGAGAAAGCAAATAACGACAGAGTGGCAACACTTTGGTCCTTGTCACGCTTGCAACCATCGCCAGTGAAGTAATAGCCGTTGAACTGTGAGAAATACGTCTCCTGCGAACTTTTAGGCTTGTTAAGCTTTTGAGAGGAACGGCCAACAAGCAAAAACACTACTAGGTTAGAGGCCATCGCTATTAGAAAATGAAGTCTAGTTGAATTGGTTGAAACTCCGCAGATTCCAAAACGGCTGTGGTGAGGAATCTGTCCTCAAAGCGCTGATGATCACCATGAACTGTACGCATCATACTCGGAACCGGCCGCTTCAGCACCAGGCGGCCACTGCACTCGCCCGACAACTCCTTCCCGTTCTCATCCAAAATGGCCGTTTCCACTCCAAAAAAGGGCAAACTTGCCGAACCTGCAGACCGAATCACATCGAACGCATGCACCGGACATCAACACAGGCACCCGACGCTGGCTGGACCCGCCTGGCTTGCATGTCATGGCACCCACCAAAGGTGTGATGAGGTGGCTACCCGTCTCAGTCTGCCAATAGGTGTCAGCAATGGCACAGCGGCTGCCACCTACATGTGACTAACAATCTTTTGGGATGAAAATCTCATTTTCTTCTGGGAAAGGACTCTTCAAAACAATGCTTGCCAATTTGTTTCAATCACTCCCGGCCTACCACTCGATGGTACCACCTCCAAGCCTCAGGATTGATGGGCTCGCCCACTGTGCCCAAGAGCCTGGCACAACTAGATCTCGTTCTACTAGTAGCGATGCCCTTTGTTACTAGTAGCTTCTTGTTACTAGTAGT